TGAAGTGTACCTGGCGTATAAGACGACCCCCCCCACTTGGAGGCATATTTTTCAGGGCCAAAAAATCGTCTTATACGCCGGCAAATACGGTAATTTCATCCAGTCAGAGTACCATCTCCCTGGACTGTGTTAGAGAATTTTTTTTCACCTGGGACATGGTCACAGACTATTTTACTTTAAAGAATTTTGATGAGATTTAGGAGACACAGCAGTCTGATCAACAGTGGAAAGCATGCTAGACAGGACACCTGTGCTTGATTTCTGCATCTCCAATCATTGTTTGTGTGACCTTGTGCAAATTACTTAACTTTTCTGAGTCTTAGTTTTCTCATCTGTAGAAATGAAATATACTAGGTTATTCTGAGGACTGGATGAGATATTATAAAGGAAGTGCTGATATAGTACCTGATGTGGACCAAGTCAATAAATATTAGTTGAACCTGATTTCTGTAGGAAGTTGCTCTCAGAAAGCTGTTATCTCCAAGAATATTTGAGAAACTGATTCACACTAAGATGTTGTAGAAAATAAGATGCAATGCCACAAGGTTCAATATTGACAGTCTTCTGAGTATTTGTAATTTAGGATGGGTTTTCTTTAAAACGCCAAATCATCAGTTATCTTCATTGCTGGGATTAGTGGGTGCTAGTTGCATGAAGTTCCAGGGTGCTTACCCCAGGGTACTCCCTGCTCTGAGTGGAAGTAGATGCCAAGAGAAGTTTAACCATTCATTGGCTCCCACACTGGGTGTAGCAGGAATGTACCTCACAGAGACACTTCAGTCCTCTTCCTGGTTGCATTTTTGAAAAGTGTATCAAAGCTGAGCATTACTCCTGGGAATGATTTACTTCTGAACAGCAGGCCAGAAAAATTCCCAGTGAGTGAGTAAATGAATGAATGGAAGGCCATGGCTCTTCCCTCTCCTCAGATCCCTGCACAAAAGGCAGCCATCGAACTGTTCTCTGAGGTATTCCCACTCTCTTTATCCTCCCCTCCAGACTACCCATCTGCCCCAGTTCCCTTCCTTTGAGCAGCACCCTCCCATGTAAGCCCAGCAGCTCCACCTGGTGTAGAGTTTGCAGCTGGAATGGGAGGACTGGATAGGGCCAAAACTACCGGGGAATACAGGGGCTATAGCTACGACATCATCTATTGTTGCAGGCTTGAGGAAATCACTAGGGTCACTAAGTCCTTGAGATGACATCCACCTGATTTATGCCCCTTTTGTGCCTTAGCCTTTATTTGTTTACCTTTCTATCACTTTTCCATGACAAGTTTAAAGGACTCGATGTCATGACCTCGCATTAGCTACCAAGGGTACATACAATACAAGTCCTGCCTTGTGTACCTACCTCTTTAGTAAAAATCAAAGAAAAGAGGAAATCTATGCCAAAGAACCTCTAGCTAATGCTAATAGCTCCCAGCGGGTCCAGGTTAAATATTTCCACGATTAGAGAGCGTTGTCCCAGGCCGGAGTAAGGCTCGGTTGGTATCTACAGCTGCTTCCAATGTCCTACAGATTGTAAAGACCAGGGTCAGCGGGGAGCTTCGCCCTCTTCTCTCGAACTACAACTCCCAGGATACCCTGCGACCGGGGAGTGCGCCGGCGCTTGTTTGGCGGAGGGGGAATCGGCCGCACAGACAGCGCGGTCTAGTTGGGGGAGCTGCTGGGAGGGTGGATCCGGCAACTCCCTGGGAGGCAGACTCAGGCAGACGGGCGGGTGCTGGGAACCGAGCGGCGCACATTCATTCCCTGCGGGTCCGTGAAGGAGTCGGTGGCCCCAGTGGACGCCAGTCAGGTAAGTCCAGCCGGTGCTTTCCAGGAAGTCCGTGTGCGGGCGCGGGCAAGGGAGTAACCCCGGCCATGGTGGCTGAGGAGGGAGAGGTTGCTGCCTTCCTGCCGCTGGCCCCCGTCTCCTTCCCTCCGACTCCCTCTCGGGGGCCGGGGGGGACGCCGAGGGCTGCTTCGGGGAGAACGGGCCCGGGGGGAGGGGGGCCGTGGGGCGCACTGGGCGTCGCCCGCGGTGGAGGCGCGCGAACCCCTAGATGAATCACTCGGGGGCTGGGCCTCCCCGGGTTCGAGACCGGCCCCTTCCCCTCCGGCGGCTGCCCGCGCGGGCCGCGGCTTTGCGAGCTTGTGGTACCTACCTGTCCCTTCCACTCAGGCGTAGCTCGGGGGACGATCATCGTAAAAGGGTTTTCTCACCAATGCTCCTTCAAAGGCTTCTGGTTGTTGAAAGTTGGAAAGAAGGGGAAAAAAAAAACAAAAAACAAAAAACCCTAGGGCACACCCTTTTTTTGATTGAAATCTGGCTTGTCTTGCATTCGCTATTTTGATCTATCTGCTGTCTTAGAATAAATTCCTGGCTCCCGTGCAGCACAGCTGGATCCGGCTGTGAAGTTTGTATATTGGTTTTCTTTTGAGGACGTGACTGGGTCGTTATATTTTTGCCTGCGGAGGTTAGTAGGCTTCCCCTGCAAGCCTGCATTCTGATTATAAACTAATGGGGAACAGCCGCAGGTTTTTTGTTTTACGTTTTATGTTTAGTTAAGAATCGCTTTTCCAACTTGCCCTTGGCTTCTTTTAAAACCAAAATTCATCTGGTAATGAACACTGCAGTAAAACGTATCCCAGGAGGTCATACTTGAACAGGAAATAAGCCTGTGGAGATTTAAATCATGTGCGGTCTCCCTTGGTTTGTAACATTTTCTTGCGGCTCATGTTTCGTTTTCTGAGAATCCTTCAGATTAATTTTTCGGCAGATTAACTTGATTAATTAATTGGCCTGTCAAGAAAAAAAAAAGTAGACTTAGAAAAATAGTTTTGTCCTGCCTCATTTATCTTTGCTGATTTCTTCTTCCTAGTCCAAGATACCTTTTTACCTTATCACTTCTTTAAGAGCCCTCAGTCATTTTATTATAATATTTAGAATCCCCTTTCTCACGCATTCCTATGAAAGGAACAAAAAAGAGAATTAAAATGTGAGATCCAATATATTCCCTTTCTGCCTGCTTACTTTTGAACCTCTCAAGATTTCTAGTTGACTCATCTTTTAAATGAGATTGTTAGACCAAATGACCCTAAAGATTATTCCAGCCCTAAATATCTCCGATTTTTAAAAATTTATTTATTGTATTCATTCAGGAAACAATGGCCACAGGTGTCATTCCAAGCCCTGTGCTAGGCATAAAGGAACAAAAAGGAGTGCTGGAGGATGTTACAGACCTACTGCTTAATTTCCTTTAGTCATAATTTTATGACTGATTTCAAAGTTTTGTGATATACCCTTCAGGCCAAGTTATTCTGTAATTAACTTCACCTAAACTTACAAATTGTACAGGTCCAATCCCATTACAATGATCGATTTCACTCTAATCAGAGATTTTCAAGTCTCAGCTACTGGTCTATGTAAATAAAACACAGACTCAGTGTAACAGAAAAGACTTGAATGGTGTAGGATGGTGGTTCTCAAATTTTAACATGCATAAATCACCCAGGATCTTGTAGGTTTGAAGTAGGGCCCTAGGACCTGCATGTCAGACAGGGAATGGGTGCTGTAGTTACAGTCAGAGACCACACTGAATAGTAAGGATTGGGATATGTTTTAAGATGTTCGTAATGACAGTTTAAAGACCAGTGCTGATAGCTCTGATACTACATGCATAGCGATGGCTTTTTCCAACTCTCAATTTTTTTAAATAATCATATTCACTCTAACAAAATAATTGCCTTCACAAGTTTTTTCTGTTCTTTTCTTTTTTCTCTTCTCTCCTTCCCTTCTCCTTTCTCTTTGCTCAGTCCTCTCAGCGTTTTTTAATTTTCTCCTCCTCTTCCACCCTTAACTGTTTTCATTCACGTTAATTCAGTAATTCACTAATTCATCATGTGTTTTACTCCGTCTTGTACAAGTCACTGTGTTAGGCTCATGGTGAATGTAGACATTAAGACATGGTTTTTGTCTGGGAACTTACTCTTCTTTGAGATTAACCATGTGTACTTGTTTATAGTTGAGAGCCTTGTAAGGCCATCTAGAGGGAGGGAATAAAAACATGCAGTAGGAGTGGGGGAGAGATCTTTTACAGTTGTGGGATGGGAAATAAATGAAGTCATCTTTTTTCCACTCTCTGGTCATCTGTGTCCCCCCAGGCTATACTCTTTATACTGTTTGAATGTATGTGCCATATCTACAATAGAATACAGTACAATTTTGTAAATTTACTTATTTGGAACCTAGGATGAGCTGGGTATATGAAAAGTCAATTAGATTTGAGCAATATCATAGGGAGAGTGAAAGGTGGTGGGGATAAAAACATACCTGGATAGAGAACAACAGAGGAAGGGGAAAGATGAAGAGGAAGACAGAGGAGGACCCACCCAGTAAAACAGTAGGAGAAAAGGGCTCCGTAGGTTTTCAGGTGTCTGTCTGATGTACACTGCTCTTGTTATTTAGGTTGTGTTATCAACTTTTAAAGACCAAATTAGCTGGCAGACTAGTCTTCACACTTTTCAATTCTCTTTAAATTTAAATATATATGGGCTCTCTCTTAATTAAAATAGTTGAGGAGGGCATTGTTCTCTAGGCTAATAGTGGTTAAAGCACTATCGTCCTGTCATCGACCTTCCTTGCTGACATTTGATTTACATGCCTTATTCTCAGTTTTATTTCAAATCCTCCAAAATTACAACTATAAAATCATAATGAGAGGAAAATGGTATAGAAAGCAGAAAATTCTGGACCTCTAATAGTCCGTTAGGTACATATTGAAATCCTGAGGAATCAACCTCGATTTGCTGTTTATGAAAAACATGAACATGTATACTTATATTTATCTAACTATATGTGTCTGTAATCCATTAGGTTATTTATAGTAATGAAGGAATAGAGATGAGAATAATCCAAGTGGCAAATAATTGAAAATGTATGTGTAGTAATGTAGATTTCCTTTGAAACAAAATCATTAACCTATGTCTTGAAGCAGAGTGCTACTTTGTATTTGTTAGTGAGGTTTCAGTAACATTCAATAAAATGCACATATCTTAAGTGTCCAGTTCAAGGAGTTCTGATAATTTTATACACTGTAATTTCTACCAAAACAAGACAGGAAACATTTTTATCACCATAGAAACTTCCCTCATGCCCTCTTCCAGGCATTTCCCTCTCCCATGGCAACCACTTTGATCCCATATTCTGCCACCATAGATTTGTTTGACCTCGTCATGGACTGCACATAAATGGAATCATACAGCAGTATATACTTTTTTGTGTCTGGCTTCTTTCAGGTAACATAATGTTTTTGAGACTCATCTGTGTTGTTTTATGTTCCAGTGGTTTGCTCTTTTTTATTGCTGAATAATATCCTGTTGTATGACTATATCCCAATTTGTTTATCTGTTTTTCTCTTGATGGATAGTTGGGTTATTTCCAAGTTGGTCTATTATGAATAAGGTTGTTGTGAACATTCCTTTACAAGTCTCTTGTGGATATATGTTTTCATTTCTCTTGATAAATACCTAGGAGTGGAATTACTGAGTCATAGGGTAAATGTATGTTTAACTTTATTTAAAAAACTGCCAAACAGTTCTCCAAAGTGGTTTATATATGAATTCCAGTTGCTCCACATTTTTAATGGCACCAATTTTTAGTGTTGTCAGCCTTTTTTATTTTAGCTACACTAGAAGATGTAAAATGGTACCTCATTATGGTTTGCACTTGCCTATGTGGGACATTTCATATAAATGGAATCATACAATATGTAGTCTTTTGTGACAGTCTTCTTTCGCCCTTAATACTTTTAACAGTCGATTTTGAGGATCTCTGAAAAACAGGCAAAGTTCCTCCACGGATGTGCACACTCTTTGTTTGACCTGTACAGATAAACACTCCCTCGGGTACAAGTGCTCAAACAGCTACACCTACTCACTAGAGCGAACACAAACACACCAAGACAAACTTACAAACTAAGGTAACTGATGCACAGAGATAACCCTTTACAATTAAATAGTTTCATATATGGGCATATCTAAGCACTGACATGACTGCGAGTACATACAAGTGAACACAGTTCCTAAAGTGTATGTGAGAAAATGGATGAAAATATAGTAAGCTGGGGGAAAATGAGGGCTGAGTGGACAAGAGTGAATGAGAGCATGATGGCAAGTTACATTTGTTTAAAGTGTATTCTGGTGTTTAAAACAATTCCTAGAGCTTTTAGTTAAGTTGTTTTAACCAGTAACAATTGTCTGATATGTATATATTATTTAATATGTATATAGACTTGTAGATAGTTTCTTAGTCTATTACATAACAATCCCTTTGAGCAGGATATTATTAAATAGTTGTAAAGTAGGGGATTTACATTTGGAAAATTATAACCAACAAAATATTTTGGTTTCCTGGCTGTGGTGTTATCATTTTAATAAGGAGTTGCTAAGGAGTGTTTCCTTAATATGCATACTAGTGAAAAGAGAGAAGGCCCCCTCAAATGTATACATCATAAATCTGACACCTGTGAAGGCAGTGCTTACTCTGGGGCAAGAAAGTGTGGTAAGATTTGATATAACCCCAAGATTTTTTGTTCATGGTGGATTCAAGTTAGTGTTCTTAAATAACTGCTTCCCCCCACCCCCCTCTGTTTTCTGCTTAACATGGCCACTGGGGTGCTAGACCTGCTTGGGGGGAGGGCGAGGTGGGATGGGGTGGGGAGGTGGGTAAGAAAGATTGATTCGATTGGGAAAGATCAATAAGTATGTGATTATTTGAAAGTCAAGGCCCCTTCGTCCCCCTTACACACACACACA